CCTGCGTTTTTATTAGCGGTCCTGAGTAATTTTCCTTGGCAAAATTCCCCGTTTTGCCACTTGTTGGAGGCAGATTCTGGGAGCTGTCAGCAAGGAGCAGCTAAGTGAGCAGTTAAGGACGGCACTTTCCATGTGGCACTTCTGACCCGGCTGTCAGATTGAAATGTAAAATCAGGGCTCTGTACAGTTTTGCCATTTCACTGTTCTGCTTTGAGCTTAGGTTATTAGAACGCTTGGTGGCGGGTGTGTACACACATTCCAGAAAGGCTTCACTCGCTGGGAACGTCAGCCCAGCGAGAAAAGAGGGGAAGCCCCTTCTCCAGGGACCTTATCTGTGGACTCAGGGATGACGGTGTTTATTGCAAATGCACAATCTTTTTCCCATTGAAATGTCATCACACTGGAAATTGTACTATATGTTAAAAAAAAAAAAGTATAGTTTTATATTTGAAATGTATACAAATTATGGCCATATGGCTGATTGGAATGTACTGCTGTAATACAAAAAGTCACTGTATTTGCAATAAATTCTTTTCTATTAAAATTGACTTCTAAGTTTGTTAATTTTTTTAAACTATAAAATATTTCAAACATACAGGAAAATAGTTATATAAGAAACACCCATGTGTCCATCAACATGTGTAAGAATAATATCCTGCCACAGCACTGTGGAGGGCCGGAGCCTGTTCTGTTCTCAGTGTCCACCCTCTTCCTGGGGCATCCGCCATCCCAAAGCTGGCACGTCTTCTCCTTTCTGCAGGAGAAAAATGTCACAACACTGTGGAAAGATAAAGCCTGGAACAGACGGAAAGTTCGTTTCTTTGGAAGATTTGGCAACATGAAGTTGACTGGTTCTTCAGAGTTTACTGATAAATGTAATTAGTCCCAATAAAAATACAGATGTTCCATGCCCCAATCAACCCCAGAATTAGACAAGACATTCTAAAGTTTTTACATATAAACTAAATAAGCAAACAAAACAATTAGGAAAACTCTGAAGAAAGAAGAGCAATGTATGGGGACTAGTTCTACCAGTTATTAAAATACAAGTCCCAATACAGTTTGTGTTACACGGGTGTATGCATTTGTCAAAACTCATTGAGGAGTGCACTTATTCATTCACTTGGGCTTTTCTGTCTGAGGCTGGAGTAACGGCATTGGAGTAACCAGGAGACCTGAACAACATTATCGATCTACTGACATCTAGAACCCACCACACGACACCAGCAGAAGCAAATGCAGCCGAACACTTACCAAGACAGACCATATTCCAGGCCAACGAATCTCAAAAATGTATGAAGATTCAAGCCATACAATGTATGTACTGTGACCACAGTGGAATTAAATTAGAAATCTGTCCCGCAATATGAAGCTGGAAACCATCATTCTCAGCAAACTATCTTAAGGACAGAAAACCAAACACCGCATGTTCTCACTCATAGGTGGGAATTGAACAATGAGAACATTTGGACACAGGAAGGGGAACATCACACACCGGGGCCTGTTGTGGGGTGAGGGGAGGCGAGAGGGATAGCATTAGGAGATATACCTAATGTAAATGATGAAGTTAATGGGTGCAGCACACCAACATGGCACATGTATACATATGTAACAAACCTGCACATTGTACACATGTACCCTAGAACTTGAAGTATAATTAAAAATAAAAAATGAGGTAAAGTGAAAAATTTTTAAAAATTAAATTATTACATGTGCCCTGAAAAAAAAATCTATCCCCCAATATTTGGAAACAACATACTGCTGAATAACCCATGAGGCAAAGAAGAGATAAGAGGGGAAATTAGGAAATATTCTGGATTGAATGGAAATGAAAACACAATATATCAAAATTTGTGGGCTAGAGTGAAAGTATTACTTAGGGGAAAAGTCACAGCACCAAACACCCAGCTTAGAATAGAAGAAAAGCCTCAAGTCAACAACTTCAGCTTCCACCTTAAATAATTCGACAAAGAAGAGCAAATTAAACCCAAAGTCAAAAGAAAACAATGATGATCAAAGCAGAAACCAAGGAACAGAACAGATTGGCCATGACATGCTGCAGGCTAGAGTGGTTGTGTTAAGTTTGGTTGGCACGGCCACACTCAGTCACAGATTCCCTACACCCACCAATTCCCTATGCCTGCTTCGTGCTCCAGCAGTTAACACAGAGCAGCTGTAACAGGTCATGTGGCCCAGAAAGCCTAATACACAGAAAACATTTGTTGACCCTTGAAATAGAAAACAAAGAATAGAGAAAGTAAACCAAAGGCATGTTCTTTCAGAAGATTAGTAAAACTGATAAACTTCTAGTCCAGTCAGAATAAAAGAAAAAAAAACTTGGCCGGGTGCGGTGGCTCAAGCCTGTAATCCCAGCACTTTGGGAGGCCGAGACGGGCGGATCACGAGGTCAAGAGATCAAGACCAGCCTGGCTAACACGGTGAAACCCCGTCTCTACCAAAAAAGACAAAAAACTAGCCGGGCGAGATGGTGGGCGCCTGTAGTCCCAGCTACCCGGGAGGCTGAGGCAGGAGAATGGCAGGAACCCGGGAGGCGGAGCTTGCAGTGAGCTGAGATCCGGCCACTGCACTCCAGCCTTGGCGACAGAGCGAGACTCCGTCTCAAAAAAAAAAAACAAAAAAAGAAAAAAAAAACTTACTAATATCAGAAATGAGAAGTGATATCCACTACAGGTGATATCACTATAATCTACAGACATACAAGCATCATAAGGCAGTATTATGAAGAACACTTTTATTTTTTGAGACAGGGTCTCACTGTTGCCTAGGCTGGAGTGCAGTGGCATGATTATAGCTCACTGCAGCCTCCAACTCCTGCCTCAGCCTCCCGAGTAGCTGAGACTACAGGTGCACAGCACCACACCTGGCAATTTTTTTTTTTTTCCTGACATCTCACTATGTTGCCCAGGCTGGTCTCAAACTCCTGAGCTCAAGTAATCCTCCTGCCTTGGCCTCCCAAAGTGGTGGGATTACAGGCGTGAGCCACTGTGCCCAGCTCATGAACAACTTTATATAAATAAATTTAGTAACTTAGATAAAATGGAGAATACATAAATTGCCAAAGCTCATTCAAGAAAAAAATGGATAACCAAAATAGCCATGTATTTATTAAGCCAAAACTGTGGTTAACCTTCCCACAAAGAAACTTCAGGCCCAGATGGCTTAAATATGAATTCTGTAAACATGTAAGAAATAAATAATACCATGTATGTAAAACGTATGATAGATATATTGGTTTCATCCATGGCTCCTTGTTCATAACTCCCATGGCCTTCGTTGCAGTCTTTTGTTGTAATGCTGGGGCATTTTAGGCCTCAGGGAAGATAATCTCTCTTTCTGCCCTCCTTTCACCTACTTCTTTTTCTCTCCCCGGCAAGAATCTTCCCGCCTTTCTGGCTTGGAGCTGGCTGTAAATAAATTCTCTGATAGGAAGGGGCACTGCCCCATACTCTGAAAGAAGGAATGCGGCAGGGCTAAGAACCTGAGCAGACAGGCCTGGCTGGATGGCGCCATTCAGACTATGAGCATTAGATCATACCCTTTTTGTCCAATCGTTTCTCTACTTGGTTGTCGATCATGCCTATCTAATGAGATTTCTATAAAAGGCCCAAAAGGACAGGGTTTGGAGAGCTTCCGGATTGCTGAACAATGGAGGCTCCTGGAGGGTGGTGGGCATCGAAGCTCCATGTGCCTTCCCCACATCTTCCCCTATGTACCTCTTCCATTTGGATCCTTTCACCTGCATATTGTACCATATCCTTTATAATAAACCAGTAAGCTTAAGTGTTTCTGAGTTCCATGAGCTGCTCAAGCAAATTAATTGAATCCAAAGAGGGGATCATGGGAACTCCAACTTGAAGCTAGTTGGTCAGAATCTCAGAGGCCCAGACTTGCGACGGTGTCTGCAGGGAGGGCAGTCTTGGACTGAGCCCTGAGCCTGTGGGATCTGACGCCATCTCCAGGTAGTGTTGGAACTGAAGTAGAAGTAGAGGACACACCTGGTGTCCACTGCAGAGCTTGGTATGTGGGGAAAACCCCCACACATTTGGTCACAGAAGTCTTCTGTGTTATTGAGTGACAGAACAGTTTTTTTTTCTATTTAGAAAACTCTTCCAAAAAATTGAAAAGGAGGGACTATTTTCCCAAGAACACCACAGACCAATCTTTCTCATGCACACTGATGCAAAAATTCTACAAAAAAATTTCAAATAAAATCCTACAAAAACGATAATATATCATGACCAGGTGTGGTTTCTGCCAGGAATGCAGGGTTGGTTTAACACTGAAAACTCAATTGATCAATCAGCCACTGTAATTCACCAGACTAACAAACTAAAAGACAAAACCATCTCAACAGATGCAGAAAAAAGATATGACAAAATCCAGCATCCATTTCTGATTTTTAAAAAAATTCTCAGTAAACTAGGTGTATGAGTCTGTTCTCATGCTAATAAAGACATACTGGAGAGTGGGTAATTTAAAAAGGAAAGAGGTTTAATTGACTCAGTTCCACATGGCTGGGGAGGCCTCACAATCACAGCAGAAGGCAAATGGACAGGAACCAAAGTCATGTCTTACATGCTGGCAGGCAAAAGAGCGTGTCCAGGGGAACTCCCATTTATAAAACCATCAGATCTCGTGAGACTTATTGACTAACACCAGAAAAGTATGGGGGAAACCACCCTCTTGATTCAATTATCTCGACTGGCCCTGCCCTTGACACGTGGGAATTATTTCAATTCAAGGTGAGATTTGGGTAGGGACACAGACAAACCATATCACTAGGAATAGGAGGAAACTTCCTCACCCCAATAAAGGGCATCTACAAACAACTTAAGAGCTAACATCATCATAATGAAAGACTGTTTTTCTTCTTAGATCAGGAACAAGATAGGGGTGTCTTCTCTGACCACATATTTAGTACTCCACTGAAAGTTCTACCAATGCAATCAGGCAAGAAAAAGAAATAAAAGGCATTCAGATTAGAAAGGAAGAAGTAAAACTCTTTATTAATAGAACACATGACTGTTGATGTAATTTACAAAAAAACCATGAGAACTCACAGTTTAGCAAGGCTGAAGGATACAAGTTAAACATCAATTGTACTTCTATTTACTAGCAACAAGCAGTTAGAATTTGAAATTTTAAAATACCATTTAGCATCAAAACTATGAAACGCTGACATGGTAGACCTGTACACTGAAAACTACAGGATTATTAAGAGAAACAGAAGACAGAAACATTAATACATGGGAAGACAGACCTTGTTTACAGGCCAGAAGACTCAGTATCACTAAGATGTCAATTCTCCCAACATTTTTATATAAATTCAATGCAATCTCAATCAAGGTGCTAAGAGGGGTTTTTGTTGTAGAAATTGACAAGTTGATCCTAATTTCTTTTTGAGAGAGTCTCACTTTGTCACCCAGGCTGGAGTGGTGTGATCTCAGCTCACTGCAGCCTTGACCTCTGGGGCTCAAGTGATCCTCCCACCTCAGCCCACCATGTAGCTGGGACTACAAGCATGCACCACCACACCCAGCTAATTTTTTACATTTTTTGTAGAGACGGAGTTTTACCATGGGCCCAGACTGGTCTGGACCTCCTGAGCTCAAGCGATCCGCCCACCTAGGCCTCCCAAAGTTCTAGGATTACAGGCATAAGCCACCACACCCTGCCTATTTCCAAATTTCACATCAAAAGCAAAGGACTTAACATAGCCAAAACAAATCTCAAAAAAAAATGTGGTACATTGGGCCAGTGCCAAGGCTCACGCCTGTAACCCCAGCACATGGGGAGGATGAGGCGAGTGGACTGCTTTAGCTCAGGAGTTCAACACAGCCTGGCCAACGCGGTGAAACCCCATCTCCAAAAAATACAAACAACAGCAAAAATAAGATGCATTAATACTATCTATTTCAAGAATTATTAGAAAAGTTACATACACTACATACAAATATGGTATTGGCATTCAGGAGAGAAAAACAGGTCAATGGAACAAAACAGAGTCCTGAAATAAACCCACATACACACTGACAACTACTTTTTAACAAAAATGCAAAGCTGATAGAGCAAAGGGCAGTCCTTTCAAAAAATGGTAGTGAAACAGCTGGGTATCTATATGCCCAAGAAAAGGTGAAGGTGGATCGACACCTTGCACCATATAAAAAATTCATTCAAAATGAATCACAGGCTGGGCGCGGTGGCTCACACTTGTAATCCCAAAACTTTCGGAGGCCAAGGTAGGTCACTTGAGATTAGGAGTTCGAAACCAGCCTGGCCAACACAGTAAAACCCTGTCTCTACTAAAAATACGAGAATTAGCCAGGTGTGGTGGCCTGCACCTATAATCCCAGCTACTTGGGAGGCTGAGACAAAAGAATCACTTGAACCCAGGGGATGGAGATTGCAGTGAGCCGAGATCACGCCACTGCACCCCAGCCTGGGTGACAGAGCGAGACTCCGTCTCAAAACAAACAAAGAAACAACAAAAAAAAAAGAACAAAAAAACGGGTTATAGACCAAAGTATAAAGCTTAAAATTATAACACTTCCAGAAGAAAAAAGGAAAAAAAAATTGTGACCTTGGGATGGGAAAAGATTTCTTGGATGCAACATCCAAAGCATAAAAGAACAAACGAATAAACTGGATTTCATCAAAATTTAAAATGTCAGCTGTTTAAAAGATACCATTAGGACCGGGCGCAGTGGCTCAAGCCTGTAATCCCAGCACTTTGGGAGGCCGAGGCAGGCGGATCATGAGGTCAGGAGATCAAGACCATCCTGGCTAACACGGTGAAACCCCGTCTCTACTAAACACACAAAATAAATTAGCCGGGCATGGTGGCGGGTGCCTGTAGTCCCAGCTACTCAGGAGGCTGAGGCAGGAGAATGGCGTGAACCAAGGAGGCAGAGCTTGCAGTGAGCTGAGATCGCACCACTGCACTCCAGCCTGGATGACAGAGCAAGACTCCATATCAAAAAAAAAAAAAAATACCATTGAAAGCCAATCAACTCTTCATGTGACTTTTCAGTCAATCTGAATCTCAGGGAAAACTGTACAAAGTTCTTTCTCTAGCCCCAATTTCACTGTCCCTCTCCAAAGTGGTGATACTGGTGACCATCCCACAGCCACAAGCCACACCAGCCACCATGGTGGAAATGTGCAAAATCCATGTGTGTCCTTCCTTTCCAAATATCCAGGTGATAAATTAGTATGTCATTAAACATTACATATACCGGAAATTTCTACAGACCATCATCTTCACTTGCTTATGTGATTTGAAAATGTGTATCTCAGAAATTCATCTCTAGCTTGTACAATACACATGACCAGAAAACAAGACACACAGGATCTACCTTCTTCCTATCCAGCCAAGTGACTGATTATTTAAGAGATTCAAATGTAACCATGTTTACTTTCATTTAAAAAATACACTGTAACAAAACTGTGTAGGAATGCTGTGATTATAGATACAGCTTATTAGAAAAAGGAGTAGGGGCCAGGTGCAGTGGCTCACACCTGTGATCTCAACACTTTGAGAGGCCAAGGTGGGAGGACTGCTTGAGGCCAGCAGTTTGAGACCAGCTTGGGCAACATAGTGAGACACTGTTTCTACAAAACAAAACAAAACCAACACCAAAAAGGAGTAGGAAGAATAGTGTACAACATTAAAAAAAGAAGAAAGTCTTTAATAGCAAATTATACTTCTTAGCCAAGTATTCTTAGTTACCTTCAACAGTGTCTACAGCTTGTAAAATCAAAGAGGGAGGTGAAGGGAGGGTGGAGAGAGTGAGTACAGAGGCATCCATGAATTGGGTGAAGCCTGGGTGGGAGTGCCTCAGTGCATGGTCACGACAGGATGTGCTCCAGTACTCCTTGTCTGATCAGCTGCTCACACTTCCAACGAGGTAAAAAGTGCTGAGGGGACAAGAAGGGATGCAGAAAGAGTAAAATAAATGATTGGGAAAGAATTTGAAATTATTTCTTGTATCATTAAAAAGTAGCACTGATTAGTTTTCAAACTCCAACAAGTAAGTAGTTAAAAGTTAAACTTAAGGGGTTGGGCGCAGTGGCTGACACTTGTAATCCCAGCACTTTGGGACGCCAAGGCGGGCGGATCACCTGAGGTCGGGGGTTCGAGACCAGCCTGACCAACACGGAGAAACCGTGTCTCTACTAAAAAATATAAAATTGGGCCGGGTGCAGTGGCTCACGCCTGTAATCCCAGAACTTTGGGAGGCCGAGGCGGGTGGATCACGAGGTCAGGAGATCGAGACCATCCTGGCTGACACAGTGAAACCCAGTCTCAACTAAAAATGCAAAAAATTAGCCAGGCACAGTGGCAGGCGCCTGTAATCCCAGATACTCAGGAGGCTGAGGCAGGAGAATGGCATGAACCTGGGAGGTGGAGCTTGCAGTGAGCTGAGACCATGCCACTGCACTCCAGCCTGGGTGACAGAGCGAGACTGTCTCAAAAAAAACAAAAACAAAAACAAAAACAAAAACAAAAAAAACAAAATTAGCCGGGCGTGGTGGCGCATGCCTGTAATCCCAGCTACACAGGAGGCTGAGGCAGGAGAATCGCTTGAACCTGGGAGGTGGAGGCCGCAGTGAGCCGAGATCGTGCCATTGCACTCCAGCCTGGGCAACAAGAGCAAAACTCCATCTCAAAAAAAAAAAAAGTTAAATTTAACTATATTTGCTGTTAATCACAGTGAAATTGATGCTATTTAGAGTTGTACGGAATTCTGACTTTTACAAATGAATTCAGTTTGCTTCAGTTCAATTCAACTAAGACTTCTGAATCTAGTAGGTATTGTCCTTAGTGTTTGTATTTTTTAAATTTATGCACAGAGAAATCCAGATAGGTGTGATGTGGATTATCACTGGCCCAACAGCCTATCAGGAAGACGCATGAAAGGCTCATTTCTCCATAAAACCTGCTCTAGGATTTCAGAGTCTGAACATTCTTCCAATAACAAGTGACAACCTTCCTCCTCTATTTCTCAAGGATGAAAAGTATCCATGACCCACAGTGCAGGTGCTATTCACATGGTGCGTGGGAAGATGCCAGCACCCAGGTATTGCTTGTCCTGTGTCTTCCTAAGAGGACGTCGCTCTTGCTCTAAGGGAACCAGGGGCAGGTGGAAAGATGTCCCCTTCCCTCTCAAACACAAGGACTTACAGAAAACACTGACTGCCCTGGAGGAGGGGAGCTGAGGAAGGCAGGAAGGCTTTCCGATCCACAGGGGGTCAAAAAAAATCTCAAAGGAAGATCTCAAGGAAGCAAAATGTAACCTCAGTAGCTATGTGCACGTGAAGGTCCTGCCTCACAAACTCAAAGGCCTTACAAGAGATCCATGACCAAATTCTTCTAAACCAATCTTGAAGATACATGAGCCAAGAAAAATGTAAAACAACACAACAAAAACAAAATAACTGAGTTGTTCATTTAATATCCATACTAATGCTGGTATTAAAACAGATGGAGATTATTGATTTCTGGATAAAAATAAACAGTGCTTGCCATAGTGACAAATATAAAAGAATGTATATTAGAAAATGTTTCCCAGCCAGGCACGGTGGCTCACGCTTGTAATCCCAGCACTTTGGGAGGCCGAGGCAGGTGGATCACGAGGTCAGGAGTTTGAGACCAGCCTGAACAACATGGTGAAATCCCATCTCTACTAAAAACAAAATACAAAAATTAGCCAGGCATGGTGACATGCGCCTGTAATCCCAGCTACTCAGGAGGCTGAGGCAGGAGAATCGCTTGAACCCAGGAGGCAGAGGTTGCAGTGAGCCAAGATAGCGCCACTGCACTCTAGCCTGGGTGACAGAGGGAAACTCCATCTCAAAAAAAAGCATATACACACACACACACACACACACACACACACACACACACACACACACATATATACACATATAAAATGTTTCCTACTAATTCTTTAGAGTATGTGAATGACCTACACCAGATTCTACAGAAAATTCAGATGTGGTTGAACATTAGAAGCCCCTAATACCAACCATCAACTGTGGCTGATATTGTTTCTTTTTAATGCCTCCATTTTTGTAATTGAGGGTAGGGTCACAGCTGAGAAACAGACTTAAAAAATTCAACCACCAGGCCAGGCGTGGTGGCTCACACCTGTAATCCCAGCACTTTGGGAGGCCAAGGTGGGCGGATCACCTGAGGTCAGGACTTTGAAACCAGCCTGGCCAACATGGTGAAATCCCACCTCTACTAAAAAAACTACAAAAATTAGCCAGGCATGGTGGCAGGCACCTGTAATCCCAGCTACTTGAGAGGCTGAGGCAGAGAACCGCTTGAACCCGGGAGGCAGAGGTTGCAGTGAGCCAAGATCATGCCATTGTACTCCAGCCTGGGGCACAAGAGCGAGACTTTGTCTCAAAAAAAAAAAAAAAAAAAATTCAACCACAGGACAGCATTTGGGATGAAGGGACATTTCGCATATCTTGCTTTATGAGGATGGCTTTTTTCTTGTTCTTGTGAACCAGAGCTTCCTCCTGGGCCCTCCAGAAATATAGCTGCTTATCAGAACATTAGTTCATTATCCACTTTCTTTCTTTTTTTTGAGACGGAGTCTGGCTCTGTTGCCCGGGCTGGAGTGCAGTGGCCGGATCTTCGCTCACTGCAAGCTCCGCCTCCCGGGTTTACGCCATTCTCCTGTCTCAGCCTCCCGAGTACCTGGGACTACAGGCGCCACCACCTCGCCCGGCTAGTTTTTTGTATTTTTAGTAGAGACAGGGTTTCACCGTGTTAGCCAGGATGGTCTCGATCTCCTGACCTCGTGATCCGCCCGTCTCGGCCTCCCAAAGTGCTGGGATTACAGGCTTGAGCCACCGCGCCCGGCCCATTATCCACTTTCAATTCATTAGTGTCCTAAGAGAATACTGGGACAGAAATTGTTGCCTTAACAACCAAAGACTTTAGGGAACCCTCAAAATCTTTTTTAAAAATATTCAACTAGGCCGGGCGCGGTGGCTCAAGCCTGTAATCCCAGCACTTTGGGAGGCCGAGACGGGTGGATCACGACGTCAGGAGATCGAGACCATCCTGGCTAACACGGTGAAACCCCGTCTCTACTAAAAACTACAAAAAACTAGCCGGGCGAGGTGGCGGGCGCCTGTAGTCCCAGCTACTCAGGAGGCTGAGGCAGGAGAATGGCGTGAACCCGGGAGGCGGAGCTTGCAGTGAGCTGAGATCCGGCCACTGCACTGCAGCCTGGGTGACAGAGCGAGACTCCGTCTCAAAAAAAAATAAAATAAAATAAAAAAATAAAAAAATAAAAAAAATAAAAAAATAAAATAAAAATATTCAACCTTTGTTTTAGAAGCTCCAAGGGTATTAGTAAAACAATTTTAGTCAACTATTAGTAAAACAGTTTTGAAGCTCCAAGAGTATTAGTAAAATAACAGATCAACTCACCCTGTTAGGAAAATAAGCTCAAGAACCACATGACCTGAAACATTCTTTTGCTGCCTGCCATGAACAAAGTGAACACCAAATCCTTAGGGTCATCAGATCCTAAATGGCTGACCCCAAGATGGCAGGCAAGGAAAGAAAAAGAACAGCTTTTATTAGGTCATTTTTCCTCCTCACGACTTCAGAAAATAGGGATAGGATAAAAAATTTAGTGGTCGGGCACAGTGGCTTACACCTGTAATCCTAGCACTTTGGGAGGCTGAGGTGGGTGGATTGCTTGAGCTCAGTAGTTCAAGACCAGCCTGGCCAACTGGTGAAACTCCATCTTTACAAAAAATACAAAAATTAAACGGGTGCAGTGGTGCACACCTGTGGTCCAGCTACTTGGGAGGCTGAGGGTGAGGGATCACTTGAGCCCAGGAGGCAGGCGTTGCAATGAGCAGAGACTGCGCCACTGCACTCCAGCCTGGGGAACACAGCCAGACCCTGCCTCAAAAAAATAATAATAGACCAGGCGCAGTGGCTCACGGCTGTAATCCCAGCACTTTGGGAGGCAGAGGCAGGCAGATCACAAGGTCAGGAGATCAAGACCATCCTGGCTAACACAGTGAAACCCCATCTCTACCAAAAATACAAAAAAAAAAAAATTAGCTGGGAGTCATGGTGGGCGCCTGTAGTCCCAGCTACTTGGGAGGCTGAGGCAGAAGAATGGCGTGAACCCAGAAGGCAGAGCTTGCAGTGAGTGGAGATTGTGCTACTGCACTCCAGCCTGGGCAACAGAGCGAGACTCTGTCTCAAAAATAAATAAATAAATAAAAGTAATAATTTAGCCAATGTGAATTCATCTAATGTGAATTTGAAGATTTCTAGGGAAATAATTAATATACTGAGATTACTTTGGGCATGGTGGTTCACACCTGTAATCCTAGCACATTAGGATGCCAAGGTGGGTGGATTGCTTGAGCCCAGGAGTTCGAGACTAGCATGGTCAACACAGCAAGACCCCATCTCTATTTTCTTTAAAAATAGATAGATAGATAGATAGATAGATAGATAGATAGATAGATAGATAGATAGATATAGATAGATTGATAGATAGAGAGAGAGATTCCTTATAAGGACAAATTTAGCTTAAGTTACAACTTTACAATTTCAATCTTCCTCTATTAAATTGTTATGTTTACATACCAAATACTTGAAAATTCTTTTTTTGAAAATAGAAAAATCTGTATCACTATTGGCTTGCTAAAGAACTAGGATTTATAAGGCAAAGTGTAAGGTATAAAAACTGCTTAGGAACTTTAAATATAAGCAATATCTTACTAAATTAATTAATCATTTCTTAATATATGCAACATTTGCTTCCAGTCTTAATATTCAGAAAAAGTACAGAACAGGGTGTATTATACTAAAGATAATGCCTAAGATATAAACGATCATCACAAGTTGATATTTATTTTGCTATTCCAACTTTTCCACCATTCAGCACTCATAAGATTTAAAGTAAAGTATCTGGGCCGGGCGCGGTGGCTCACGCCTATAATCCCAGCACTTTGGGAGGCTGAGACGGGTGGATCACGAGGTCAGGAGATCGAGACCATCCTGGCTAACACGGTGAAACCCCGTCTCTACTAAAAATACAAAAAACTAGCCGGGCGTGGTGGCGGCGCCTGTAGTCCCAGCTACTCGGGAGGCTGAGGCAGGAGAATGGCGGGAACCCGGGAGGCGGAGCTTGCAGTGAGCTGAGATCCGGCCACCGCACTCCAGCCTGGGCGGCAGAGCAAGACTCCGTCTCAAAAAAAAAAAAAAAAAAAAAAAAAAAAGTAAAGTATCTGAAGATAAGAAATACCTGGCTATTTTTTTTTAATAGGACTGAAGTGCCATCATCAACTTCAAATTCTCCATAGTCTTTTAGACATCGGACCTGAAAGAAAAAACGTGAGACATTTTTATCTAAATTAGTTTTCAATATGCAGTGACCAAAAAATAAATCGGCATTATACAAATACACAGACAGTAAGGACTTTGTGTTTCCTCTCTGTGTACTTAGGCCTAGTACTACTACTGTGGTATTCTAATAGTTTCAAGTGTCCAGTTTTGACAGGGAGGAAGAAGAATCGCAAAATCTCTGCTGGTAAATAAATGTCAGTGCTGACAGCAAGGCGATGAAGGAAGACAACGATGTTGTCTCCTTCCCCTCTGAAATCTTGAAAAATTAAGTACGTGAAATATCTATCCACAAGGAATGCTTTAGATCTGCTCCAACCTGCTTCTTATAGATCCCTCCCATAAAATATCAATATCTGAGAATGGGGCACAGGTAAGTCTGCAGTATTTGTTTTTGGAAGCAATTCTTCCAATCCCATTCAAAATTCAGATGATTTCCCAGGAATACTTAGAAGTACACCATGGAGGAGCAGATGCCACCTCACGTGACAGGATTCAGGAATGGCAGCCTTCTGATATCCACCTCTGCAACTGCAAAGGTGTTCCCAGGTACAGGTTACAGACCTGCTACAGCACTAAGTGCTGCCACAGGAAGTAAGCGGGCACTTTTCCTCTTCTAGGAGAATTCAGACTGAAGGTTATTCTCACAAGTACTAGCAATGAACTGCCATTGTCGCCAGGAGAGTCAATGCCAGCAACAACTATGTCTTCCACTTTTCCAGATAATTTTATCATGTCCTACTATCCCTCCAGAACTTTACCAAAGCACTCAAAATATTTTAATTAAATATGAGAAATATCACTCCAGAAAAATCCTCCAAGCCCTTTGCATTTTCTTTTTGTTTGTTTTTCCAAGACAGAGTCTTGCTCTGTTGCCCAGGACAGAGTGCAGTGGTGTGATCTCCACGCACTGCAACCTCTGCCTCCCAGGCTCAAGCAATTCTCCCGCCTCAGTCTCCTGGGTTGCTGGGATTACAGGTGCTCACCACCATGCCCGGTTAATTTTTAAATTTTTAGTAGAGCCGGGGTTTCACCATGGTGGCCAGGCTGGTTTCGAACTCCTGACCTTAAATGATCGGCCTGCCCCCGCTTCCCAAAGGGCTGGGATTACAGGCATAAGCCACCACGCCTGGCCGCGTTGGCTTCTCTAAATAGACTTTTATTTTGGAAAATCTCAAACACATTCAACAGTAAAAAGACTATTCCATGTCCCCATCAACCGACATCAACACATGGCCAAGTTTGTTCCCCTCACCCACTTGTGGGTTATTCTGAAGCAAATCTTAGATATCATTTCACCTCATCTGTAAATACTCTACTGTCTACTTCTATAAAACCAGATAATTTTTTAAAAATCCCAATACTGACGGTACATGGCAGCTCATGCCTATAATCCCAGCATTTGGGGAGGCTGAGGCAGGTGGATCACCTGAAGTCAGGAATTCAAGACCAGCCTGGTCAACATGGTGAAACCCTGCCTCCACTAAAAACACAAAATTTAGCTGGGTGTGGTGGTGCGTGCCTGTAATCCCAGCTACTCAGGAGGCTGAGGTTGCAATGAGCGAGATCACACCAGTGCACTCCAGCCTGGGTGACAGAATGAGACTCCATCTCAAATAAATAAATAAAAATTATTAAGATGAGAGAGTATTGGCATTTATTTATTTATTTATTTATTTTTGAGACAGAGTCTCACTCTGTCACCCAGGCTAGAGTGCAGTGGTGTGATCTTGGCTCACTGGAACCTCCGCTTCCCAGGTTCAAGCAATTCTCCTGCCTCAGCCTCCCTAGTAGCTGGGATTACAGGAGTGTGCCACCATGCCCAGCTAATTTTTTCGTATTTTTAGTAGAGACAGGGTTTCACCATGTTGGCCAGGCTGGTCTCGAATCCTGACCTCAAATGATCCACCTGCAGCCTCCCAAAGTGCTGGGATTACAGGCATGAGCCACCGTGCCCAGCCTTATTTAATAATTTTTTTTTTTTTTTTGAGACGAAGTCTCGCTCTGTCACCCAGGCTGGAGTGCGGTGGCTGGATCTCAGCTCACCGCAAGCTCTGCCTCCCGGGTTTACGCCATTCTCCTGCCTCAGCCTCCAGAGTAGCTGGGACTACAGGTGCCCGCCACCTCGCCCGGCTAGTTTTTTGTATTTTTAGTAGAGACGGGGTTTCACCATGTTAGCCAGGATGGTCTTGATCTCCTGACCTCGTGATCCGCCCGTCCCAGCCTCCCAAAGTGCTGGGATTACAGGCTTGAGCCACCGCGCCCGGCCATTTAATAATTTTTAATATCATGAACTATCTAGTTAGTACCCAAAATTTCCCACTTGTCTCATTAATTTTTTTAAGGTTTCCACGTTGAAATCAGAATCCAACAAAGCCACACATCACTTTTTTTTTTTTATGTCTTGTCAGTCTTTTTTAATCTATAGGTTTCACTTCCTCTTTATTTTTTCCTTCCTCTTGCCATTTTATTTGTTGAAAAAATTGGGTGAGTAGTTTGTCACTGCAGACTTGAACACCTGGTCTCAAGCAATACTCCTGCCTTGGCCTCCCAAAGTGTCGGGATTATAGGCATGAGTCACTGCACAGGGTCAGTACAACTTTTCACAATCAAGATTTTGTTGTGAATTTCTTTGGGGTCATTTAACATGTTCCTTTGTCCCTGCGTTTCCTATAAAATGGAAGTTAGGTCTACATCAGATAAGGTGACTTTGTGGCAAATGGTGTTATGTACTTTCTATTACAAGACCCCATAAAACACAAAGTGCCTGGCTGTCTCATTTTGGATATTGAGGTTGATCAGTGGGCCCAAGTGTCATCCATACTTATGCATTATAAAGATCTCCATTATCCACTGAAAGGTTTTAGTAAATAAAGGGTTACAAGCATTAATCTAATTCTTATATTCCTACTACATTTGTTAGCTGGAATTCTTCTATAAAAAGAAATTTCCTTTGTAAACTATTGGGCCACGTTAAGATAGAGTTTGTATAGTAAAGGCAATGGATGCTTTGATTCCATTCTCTAACTTGCCACCTTTCACATGAGTTGGATCCCTCACATTCTCCAAGGAAACCTCAAAAATGTTTTATTTTTTAAAAATTTTGTTGGCCAGGCACGGTGGCTCATGCCTGTATTCCCAGCACTTTGGGAGGGAGAGGCAAGAGGATTGCTTGAGCTTAGGAGTTCAAGATGAGCCTGAGCAACATAGTGAAATCCCATCTCTACAAAAAATACAAAAATTAGCTGGATGTGGTCGTGAGCACCTGTAGTCACAGCTACTGTGGAAGCTGAGGTGGGAGCTGAGGTGGGAGGATGACTTGAGCCTGGGAGGTGGAGGTTCCTAAAGTAAACTAGGACTCCTTGCACTAAAATAGTTGATTCCACATCCTAAATAACAAATGACCCAAGATTGTATCATTGTACACCAGCCTGGGCAACAGACCCAGATACTACCTCAAAAAAAAAAAAAATTTGTTGTTCTTTGGTGTCATTATGCATTCATGCTTCTAACATAATTGATGTAATCCAATTCACAGCAGTTATTATTCACGTTGATGCTAAAATTGTCCATTTTTTGGTTAGCAAGAGCTCCTTCAAATTGGCCCCCACATCCTTCCAGCAGTCCCCACTTAGTCCTTGACACCTTCCTTCCTTTCTGGGAAGACAAGATGTTTCATGCTCAGTTTGTACATTTTTTATTCAGAACCTGGAATCAGCTATTTTTGTGCAAGGAGTCCTGGTTTACTTTAGTGGGAAGTGGCATTTAGATACAGAATCTGGACACTCATGGCTAACTGGCTTGTCATTGTTTCTAGGCCTTTTCAGTGGGCAGAGTTAATCAATACTTTTTTTTTTTTTTTTTTTTTTTTTTTGAGACAGAGTTTCGCTTTTGTTGCCCAGGTTGGAGTGCAATGGCGCAATCTTGGCTCACCGCAACCTCTACCTCCCGGGTTCAAGTGATTCTCCTGCCTCAGACTCCTGCTTAGCTGGGATTACAGGCATGTGCCACCAAGCCTGGCTAATTTTGTATTTTTAGTAGAGATGGGGTTTCTCCATGTTGGTCAGGCTGGTCTCAAACTCCCGACCTCAGGTGATCTGCCCACCTCGGCCTCCCAAAGTGCTGGGATTACAGGCATGAGCCACTGCACCTGACCCCTACTTTTTGTTTTTTAAAGAAGGGACGATTCATGAGTCCCTGCTTATGTTTCAAACTCAAATTTAGGAATATAGGATTTTCCCTTAAGTTTTTCAACTTTGAATCTCTTTTCTCTCTCTCTCTCTTTTTTTTTTCTTTGAGATGGAGCTTTGCTCTTATTGCCCAGGCTGGAGTGCAATGCCACCATCTCAGCTCACTGCAACCTCCTTCTCCTGGGTTCAAGCAATTCTCCTGCCTCAACCTCCTGAGTAGCTGGGATTACAGGCACCTGCCACCACGTCTGGCTAATTTTTGTATTTTTAGTAGAGATGGGGTTTCACCATGTTGGCCAGGCTGGTCTCAAACTCCTGACCTCAGGTGATCCACCCGCTCGACCTCCCCAAGTGCTGGGATTACAAGTGTGAGCTACTGTGCCCAGCCCCTTTTCTCTTATTCTGAAAACTGCTGGTAATGTCAATTACCCTTTTGCTCTATTCTTCAATATGAAAACTGTTTCAAAATAACAGTAACAAAATTATTACTAATAATATGATTAGTAAAAACAGGTTAAGAACTCTTTGCAATTCTTTTGTCCTCAGAACATATGTACCAGGAATATACAATTTATGTGTTTTAAAGTAATGTAAATAACTCCTGGATTCAGGTAAAATGGTACAGTAGGAAACATCAGGAATCTGTCTCCCTACGTCCACAACAACTGCACGAGCAGACTCTGTCTGACGTCAGTATTTTGGAACTCTGGAGTCTACTGAAGGCTTGAGGTTGGAGCTTTGACAAACATTCACTGCAATTTACTGTCCATTTTGCCTCTTAGCATAG